ACATATATATATATACATATATATATATATATATATATAGTATTATTACTTTCTGATGATGTAATGAAATAATAAAATTTTAACCTAATGGTGATATCTCAATTCCAAGAATGATCACTTTCTATTCATATGGTTCCCAAAAGGATTCATATTGAGCATCTAATCATGCATGCACTGGTGAACCTATGTAAGAATTGAGTAAAACATATCTTTAGGTACAATTATAAGTATGTAAATTGCTCAGACGGCAAATGCTGCGGTTTATTTTGTCAAAAAATTATCACATTGGCCAGATGCAAGTTGGTCTCATGAAGTCCAACTGGTCATTGCATATTTCAAGATGGATTTCATTATCACTAATCAGTTTGAATTCAATATCCATTCCAACAGTATAGGTACCTTGTTCCCACAATATACAGCTTAAAAAATTCCTAGGGTCAAAATAATGTTATCTATGAGAGGTGATGGGCCATTTTTGGGAAAAACATGACATGCTTTTGCATCCAAGGAGTGGAAATAAGTGATGAGAGCAGAGTTAATAAGTCATGCAATCAACTTAGCTTAGTTGATTCTGATTATCTCTATCTCTATTCAACGTATGCTGATACTCAACCAAATGAGTGTAAAGAATAAGTGCATTGAACAATAACACAGATGGGAGAAGAGACATAAGAAATAAACAACCAGAAGCTATCTCTAAGAGTAATTGTATAGAAGAATATGGAAAAAATTTCCTCTATGTAAATGGATAGTGAAATGTCTGTAAAGCAGTAGTTACGTACGCTGTCGACAACAATAACATCCACAAATCCACTTCTGACAAGAGTATTCAAGATACTCAATGTTTTTTCAGCACAATCAACTCTTGAAATTAGAAGATTGTTGGTATTTACACCCATGGTTTCTGCCAAAGAGGGATTCATGGCATTCTCTGGATCAAGATAAGCACAACAACCTGCAAAATTTGGCAATAATGTAAACAGACAAGAAAGTATAAGTGATATTATGGTTAAATGCATTCTGAATTCTCCTAAAGGAAGCACAAAAGCAATTAGGCCCAAGAGTAAGAAAGTCGATAGCAATTGGATATAAAAAGCTTAACAAAGAACTCATTCTGTTCTTTCTTCTGTGTAGTGTTCAACTCCAACCAAAAGTCTTGACGGAAAAAGAAAAAAAGGATAACACTTTGTATAAGGCACAATTAAGCAAAATGGAGCAACAAGCTTCCAAAGTTACCAAATTGGAAGTTATGATGGTGATATTGAAGCACATGAAAAAAAGATAGAAATTAGTGGCTACAAAAGAGATAGAAGTGTTGAGAAAGATGGATGATAAAATAGCATTGAGATAACAGTTGCAGCTAGTCTTTTTAGGATGGTTTTGTTTCTTCAGTCACTTGACGAGAAAGAGAGAAGAACCAATTAGAAAACAAAGCTGTAGTTGAAAGCATTAGTTCCTAAGAGTCGTGAAGGCAAATGACTAAATTCATGCTGGTACATCAAACTAATCAGTATTCCTCTAGTAAGGTTTCATAAATTGTTCCAGGATTTTAATATTAGGAAAGTTGAATGATGAGAGCCAAATTCAATTTTAGACCATGGTATGCAGTACCGAATGGTACCACCCAGTACGGGCAGTATGTACCGGTCCGACAGCATACCGGTACGCGGACCGTCCGGTACCGAACGGAACGTGCTACATTGCTACAGTATTACACTGTAGCAGTGCTACAGTGCTACAGCAAAGAAAGAAAATATATAAAACTGTTCGGTACACCCTGGGTACCGCTCGGTACGCCGATACCATATCGTACCGAGCCAACCTCTAAACACCGGTACAGTACGGTATTACATACCTTGTTTTAGACCACATAGGACAAAAAAATAATTACTACATTCATATTTAGGTGCCCATCTGAGGAACCAATGAATAATACTGCTGATTCAAAAAGTCTCGATTGACAAGGATTATCAAACTTAAGTAGCGAGCTTACGGATGAAAGATGTCACTGGACAAAAGTCACTGAGCAAGGAATATAAAGCTGGAAAAACTTATGCATTTGACTAGAGATGCCAATGGTATAATCTACCCGATTATGATTCAACAGCAATTCATTTGAGAGGTCCCTATCTACAAAGAGAGGGACCTGTCTACAAACATTGGCTGAAAAGAGGATTCTCTGGATCGGGCACCTATCTACAAAGATCTCTTATGTGTGAGAATCAAGAAACAACTCCAGTCACCATAAAGAATAGTCAGCTTTCCAGAAACTCAGTCCTTTCTCATACTGAATTTTCATGAAATAACAGTCCTGATTTATATATAGGAACACTTTCTTTTCTTTTTCTTCCAATGAGATTGATGTAGAAGTTGATGAGACAATAAGTTTCATACATTCATCTTCCCTCAAGGCTCCAAGCTTAGTGTCAACAAAATCTGCATGTGAGATCCTGAAACAGAAGCAAGTCTAGATTATCATAAATTAGTTCCTTGGTTATATTATAAATGTCCTTTGCACATATGGCCATCTAGATTGTCAAATCACAAATCTTCTACATCAAAGTGTCAAAGTATCTTAATACCCTAAATTTATTTAAATTCTTTGCACAAATGGCCCAGCTGACATGTAAAATCCCTGTTTAACCTAACAATATAATAGACCATTGAGACATCCAAATTTAACTTTCCCATAAAGTCCCTCTAAATTTTTCATAATGTTTTCGTATTTATAAATTGAACATGTGGCCATCAAAAAAATTAGTAGGGTATCCTTGCATAGGGATAAAATATGATGTTACATATGATAATGAACAACTTCTGACATGTCATGATATTTGTAGGAATTATCACATAAAGAAACCAATTTTACATGTGCACCATGATAATTTGACACTTTTTGAGGGAGCAAACATGCAATTAGACTCTTAGAAGATGTTTTATGTACAAAAGACCATTTTTTTTACTTACCTCATTTTCTGCTTTGCATGCTGCAAATCCATTTGTCCTATTTTTTATCATATTATTTATTGATGTTGCACAAGGAACTCAATTTCACCTGGACTGGTCCATAGCACGCGGTATTTATGGTTCCAAGCATGGACCACCCCATTTCAAACTGTCCAGAATAGTTTTTCACTTTTTCTTTTGGCGGCAGTTGATCTTTTTTTTTTCTTTTACTTTTAAGGCTGCAGCAGGGATCTCTTAGGACTTGAGAGGGGACTCCAACCCACTGCCACTACCATTCTCTGCTCTGCTCTCCGTCGCTCACCGACTGCTCGCCTCATCTCTGGTACTTCTCATCCTCATCTTTTACCTTTTCTCCTCTTCCTCTGCTGCTGCCTCCTCCACTGCCCTCTTCTTGGTACCACGGCATGTGCTGGCATACCATATGTTGACACTGACCGAAACCATACCAATCATGCAATGGATTAGCATGCGTCCAGCAACTGAAATAGCATCCATTGATGTCATATAACATAAATAGTAATGATTCATACTTCAGATCCTGCCTAACTACGTCAAATCAGCTCAAGATGCTATTGTACTTATTTAACATCAAAACATCGTGATAAAATTTTCTTCAAGATTCTGGAGTCAATTTTGAGAAGTGGTCTGCGAATCATGATTTTACTCATGACAATGACATCATTTTCATATTCCGTTAGGACAACCAAAAGACCTCTACCTCAGTACAGATAGCACCATTATAAAGTCAAAATTCAACCTGGACTCCACGGAATCTAACACCTAATAATTAAAATTCGGAAGACCCTGTTTTTTACTATACCCCACATAACTTGGGTGAGTCTATTATTGGATTTTATCATCTAGTCAGTACCTTATTACAAGGTGATCTTTGTTATCCTGGATAGTTATGTTCCTGAATTGATGGAAATTGAACCTTACATGATGTGGCAGTGGCAGCATTACCTTTCTGTTTGGACAACACTGAGCTGCATTGAGGCCAAGTCAGACCATCCCAAATCCACTTGTGTCAAGACCCATCAGGTTGCTCTCATTCTTGGTGGAACTGACCTCCTTTGGCATGAATTTCCAAGTCCTACCAGAACTAAAAATTTATATGTATTCTTGTCAGTAATTTCAAGGATACTTTTAGAAGATGCCTTGAGTCTAATTAGAGTCTATTCAGAATCCAAATGTCCTAGTACGGGTATAGTGTGGGTTAGGATGATTATTTTTGTAGATAGACTCATAACTTAATAGTTATAGCAATCTATGACAAAGACATTTTGTGGGGATGTGGCACTAATCCTCCATCCTCAACTTCTATGAATGTAAGCCCTAATTTGGTCCTACCTTATTTAAGAATAGGAGGAAGGTAAGAGTCTTCAGTCTTGTAAGTCCTAAAAGCATATTAAAACTAACATTCTCTTTACAATTTCTCTCTCTCTTTCGTTCCATTTTTCGCTTTTTCACTTTGCTCTTTACTCTCGTTTCTTCTCTAACTTCTCTTGGAGGAATCCTTCTTCCCTTGAGCAAAGAAGCCTGTTGATCTACCAACAATAGGTTGGTTATTTATTTGCTTTTTATCAAAAGTAACCCCATCAACTCTATTAAGCTTGTTCTCATGCAACTAGTGATTTAAAAAGCGCTAGGTGCTAAGGTCCAAAAATGCTCGAGGCGCTAGACGCTCACTCGAGCGAAGCGAGATGTTAAAATATATAAATATATAATATAATTAATAAATATAATTATTTAAATAAAAAATATGTTATTAAATTAAAAAAATCGGATACAAAATCACAATGTCACATTAATAAGAAGTCTCAAAAATCAAAACAATAAAATTTTACATCAAATCTATTGAGTTGCTTTGTACACTTGTCATTTATTCTGAAATCTAAGAATAATTTTAAATAAATAAAAATTAATAGTATTAAAATCAAAATAATATATAATTAATCTAATAAATAAAAATACTATTATTAGTATACAGTTAGCAGTATACTGTTAATATACTGTTAACAGTATAATGAGAAGAGTGTGAGAAGACCGAGGCTGCTAAAGCAACAACAGCAGTAGCTAGAGCAGGAGCAGGAGCGACAGCGACAGCGGCGAGCGATAGCGAGAGTGGGAGTGGGAGCTACGAGTGGTAACGGGAGCGGCAACAGCAACGACAGCAACGATTGTGGCAGCGACGAACAATCTACGAGCAGCAATTGAGGCAACAGCAAGTAGTGACAGTAGCGACGAGCATCGATAGTGGCAGCGGCAGCAGAGAGCAACGACAACGGAGAAGAAATCTCGGCGGCAAAATCGCGAGTGTTAGGGTTAGAGAAGTCAAGGAAATCGCGAGAGGGAGCCTGATATCGGTGATTTAGTTGCTTCGATTGAATCAACTAAAGCACCGCAGACCAACCAAACCTAAAAATCTGGTTCGATCACCTGGTGTAACCCAGGCGCTCGCCCGAAGCGCTCGGCGCCTGGGCTCGGGCGAGCGCCCAGGCGGTGCCTCTTTGAAGTGCGCCACCTGGAAATGAAGCGAGGCGCTCGGGCCTCACCTCACCTCACCCAAGTGCCTAGGCGAGCGCCCGAGCGCCTATTATAATCACTGCATGCAATATAAAGAAAATAATTCAATATTGATCATTGTTTGAACTTCCTAGAAGGATTAAAAAAGATCGGTCAGACCAGTTTATACCAATCAGTATTTCCAATCCAACCAAAAAATGACACCGTTATCCTTTTTTCCCTTTGACAATTGGCCTTTTTTACTTTTCCACCCATGTTACTCTATTAGTCTCTCTCTCTCCCTCTCTTTCTCCCTTCATTTCTTTCTCCCCTCCACTAATTCCTCCTCACAACCACCTTGCCACCACGCCTCTTCTCTCACCCTTTCTCTTGGAGTGTTAGCAGATAAGTCCATATGTCGGGCCGCCAACCAATATCAACACTTGACCAAAATTTTGAACTTACTACTAGCGAGACTGATGCATACCAACCAATTATTGGCACATCTCGATACAACTCTATAGACCACACTTTTTTTAATTTTTCTATTATTTTATTCATCAATACAGGACAATATAGGTCAGCATACCGCTCAACATCTCGATACCATGCCAATCTGACATGAGGAAATCAATATTGAACTGGTATTTGAGTCCTTGATATTGATAATATCAAGTAATTTGAAAACCCAACAATATGGCTGCTTTTATTATTTTAGCTGAACTGGAAAACCAACAGTAAAATGAAAATCCAGCAACCAGCTTGAGTCCAGTTAGTAAAACAATTGACCATAAATATGCTATCCTTAATGAGATCCTTAAGCTAAAATGAGACTATGAAGTATAGAATGACAAATTTATGTACTCACATAGCTCATGTTGATACAGTAGAATGCATTTTCATAGACCCAAAAAAATAAGAAAGCAAAGGAAAAAAAACACCAGGATTAGCTTCATTGACATTTATAGTGATTTTGAATGGTCTAATTTATATGAAGTTAGAAAACAAAAAACCTCCAAGCTTTTGAGCTTCCTTTATAATGTGAAGGGCAAGAGTTGTTTTCCCAGATGCTTCTTTCCCAAATATCTCAACCATTCTACCCTGGAAATTAACAAACATACATTAATATAAATATGATTAAGGCAGCTCAAGATGAAGAAATATAATGATACCAAAAGATAGATTGACAAGTTAACACCAAAATGAGGAAATATTCCGCAAGGTACTTCCCCATGCCAGACCCAGAAAGCTCTCTTCTCGTGGTTCTGACCCATTCTCCATACTCTCTCTTCATTCCTTCAGTTCTCCTGGCCGTTTTTTTCTTAATCTGAAGCCTGTTTTTTCATCTCAGTCTATTTAGTGACTGACTTGGGAGAAAGATGCCTTTTTTGCCCAAAGCTAAGATACACTTTTCTCTCTATTCATAGATTAATGGGATTTTGTTGTTCAAGCATTTTTCACATTGTTATCATGCTGATGTTTTAATATCTGACCAACTAAATATCACCAAGCGCATACTAATTCAAAGAGTATTGTCCAAACTATACATGCTGATTTAAATGCAAGCATTAAGTGCTTCCTGCCGTAACCAAATTTCCAAAGAATTTACTTGACAAAGAATTTATGCATAAAACGAAATGTCAAAGTAGCAAGAGCACACAGAAAAGGCTCCTGTCATCAGAAATGTGGAAACAATAGCCTAAACGGTTGTCTGGCTCTGATATAAAGCAAGGACTGAAGCATTGGTGTGAGCCCCATAGTGGTCCGGATATAGACAAGTAAATGCAAGCATTAGGTTCTTCCTGCAGTAACTAAGTTCTCAAAAAAAATACATAATAATGGATTTATGCATAAATCAATGAGTCAAAGTAGCATGAGCACAAAGAAAAGGCTCTTATCATTAGAACTGTAGAAACCATAGCGTACATGATTGTATTGCTTAGATATAAATCAATAATTAAAGTCTCAGTCTGAGCCCCATGCCAATCCCTAGCTAGACAAATATGGTAGGCACTTGATATGTACCAACACACTACATCAGCATACAGGTCAGCAAGGACCAAAGAGAAAGAGGGAGACAGCAAGGAGAAGGAAGGGGGTGGAGCAGAGTAGGAGGAAGATAAGGCAGAGAAGCACCAAAATGATGAGGCAATAGATGGCACGAGGCAGTTGGCAGCAATGATGAGACAGCAGAGGTTACAAGGTAAAGAGAGGAGAGAGGAAAATCAGCGCACGGGGGGGAGGGGGAGGGGGGGGGGGAGAGAGAGAGAGAGAGAGAGAGAGAGGAGGAGGAA